TAAATCCTTTATGTGTTCATAAGTATTCACCGCAACGTCTATTGCTTGATTTGCAAGAGGACTACAAATCAGGGGTGTAGTATAAGCACTAACGTATACCTCGGTTCCATCTAAAGTCTTAACAGCAAACTGTACTTGATCACACTTCTTTGGTTCACTTGTTTCTTCTCCAAATGTCTTGATCAATATTGTTGATGCACTTACTGTTGGCAGGGCTAGTATACTCCTTAGAGGATTTGAAATATATGATCGTTGCGATCCTGAATCGAATATCATTCTGACATTGGCCGTACATCTTGAAGATGGGTTACGCACACATGCTCTAGCAGTTTGTAGAAGGACTGCGTTATCATTACCTACAAATAGGCCAGTTGTTTTAGCAGGTTGGCTTGACGAACTTGATTCTTTGTAGAACATATTCGGAGGTTGCAGTTGTGATGAAAATGCTGTGTTTGGAAGTGGGTTTTCAGTCCTTGTGTTAGACATGACTTTATTACTAGATGTCCCAYTCTGAGAATTACATATTGATGTGTGATGACGACCTTGACATTTATGGCAATTATGCTGAGACTTGCATTTGGATGATAAGTGTCCTGACCTTAAACAAATGAAACACCGTCCTTTTCTTTTCAGAACATCTTTCCTTGATGCTGGATCTGTTACAATATCACATCTTATACTTGGATGATTTTTGGAACAAAAGGTGCAATAAACAATGTTCCTATCACTTGTTTGCAAGGTACTACTTGTAGCATTAAATTGTGGTCTTCGTCGGTATCCTTGATGTTTGTCACTTTCACTTGACTCGTTTTTTAATTCTGACTGTGCTCTTGAAGTTGAACACCTTTCTCTGGCTTCTACTTCCGCTTTGATCATTGCTAATACCTTATTTGCATTTAATGAGTCTTTTTTGTCCAGTTTTCGATTGATTTCTAGTGAAATCTCGTTGGGAATTTTATCCATGATGATCGGTATTAGCAAAGTTCCGTACGTGTCACTTTCGACTCCCATTGCTGTCAAATTTCTGATGTTTATCTCAAGTTGGTCGTATAATGTCCTGAGCTTCGATGTATTTTCGACGTTTTCGACTTTGTTGATATGAAGAAGGTTATTCATATAACTGGAAAGGAGAACCTGAGGTTGAGCGAATCGATCCTTTAGAATATCCACCGCTGTTTTGAGATTCTTCTCTGTGAGAGGGATTCCTTCGATTGATTTGGYTGCTTGACCGCTCAAACATCCTTTCAAATAATTGAATTTATCGATATCTGATAACTTGCTTTCGTAGACTGAAGTGTTGTAGCAGTCCCAAAACGATTGCCAATTTGCAGGATCACCATCAAATGTTTTCAGGGTGAGTTTTGGAAGTTTCGGTGCTGATTTGGTGTCCTGTGGACTTTGATCTGAGCTTGACTGACGAGTGTGCAAACACGTCTCGATCTTTGCTAAGCAACTGAACACTGCTTCGCTAAATTCTCCTGAACTTTCGATTTCCTTATCATAGTCTTTTTCTTTGGCTGATTCCAGGATTGCTTCGTCTAATCTTTGAATT